TAGGGCACCAGAAGCTTATACCTATGTGTTGGCATTGCTACAGTTGTTGGTATGAGGTACGCAGCAAGGGGCACCAGAAGCTTAAACTTATGTGTTGGCATAGCTACATTTGTTGGTATGAGGTACGCAGCATGGGGCACCAGAAGTTTAAACCTATGTGTTGTTATTGCTACAGTTGATGGTATGAGGTACGCAGCAAGGGGCACCAGAAGCTTAAACTTATGTGTTGGCATAGCTACATTTGTTGGTATGAGGTACGCAGCATGGGGCACCAGAAGTTTAAACCTATGTGTTGTTATTGCTACAGTTGATGGTATGAGGTACGCAGAAGGTATATCCACAAGTTGGTATACTACCGGATAGGAGGCACATTATGATAACTGTGTTCTCTTTGTTCGCTGCCCTGCCCTCCTGAAGGGTGGGCCACTGGAACTATTGCATCAATGACGTCACACTGCTGTTTGTGTGGTACATATGTATCTGTTAGTGACGTTTGACTGCCCCCTAAATAACATATAAAAGGTTTCTTTTAATTAAAATTCCGATAAAAAGAAAGAAACTGTCAATCATCCAATCACGAAGTTCATGCCAGCTATATACTCCTTGTTACTTCCCTCAGTGGTTCCGCGCAGGTTCAGGGAAAGAATCGGCTTGCTGTTTCCCAAAAGCCGCCTAATGAGGGACGAGGTAATAAGCAAGAAATATAATCCATCCCTGATGTGAGGTATGGATCAGGTAATTCAAACTCTCGGGATAAAATATTGAATCATATTTCATCCCTTGGGTTTGAATTACCTTATCATTACGTCACATCAGGGATGTTTTCTATTAGTCTCACCCTAGGGTTGAATCAGGGGTTTCCCCTATTCATAATAATGGTAGACGTTACTTCAACAATTCAATGACGTCACGTCAACAATCCATCAACGTCACTTCAACCCTGAGTTTAGCATGTAACGTTAACATTGCAACATTTATATGATACACAAGTAGAAAACGGAAAGAGTAAAATAATCTCTCATCCCCTTGAGGGTGATATTGAGGGAATCTCAACCCGAGGGGGAAGATTCCTAGATTGCCAAACACGAGGCTCTGCCGAGTGTTTGCCAACTGAAGAATCTTCCCCCGAGGGTTGAGATTCCCCTATTTCACCGCGAAGGGGATGAGAGATTTTATTTATCTCAACCAGAGGGGGGGAAGATTTTTAAGTTGTCAAACACGAGGCTATGCCGATTGTTTGCCAACTGAAGAATCTTTCTAGAGGGTTGATATTCCCCTTACTCCCCCTTTGATGATTCTTTTTCTCTTTCACTGTGCACCTATTGTATATCATATGCATAATGTAATGTTTACGTTACAGACTAAATTCAGGGTTGATGTGACATCAGTGTATTGTTGACGTGACGTCATTGTATTGTTGACATGACGTCATACAATTGCTATGAAAAGGCGAATCCCCCATCATTAACCCTAGGGTAAGACGAATGGAATCCTCTCCTTCCTTGAGGGTGTGACAGAGAAATTTCCAACCCGAGGGTTGATGTATTTTGGTTGTCTAACCAGAGACTCTGCCGTGGGTTAGTCAACTAAAAAAATCACCCCGAGGGATGGAGATTTCTCTGTTACACCCTCATCCTATTATTTCAGTCACAACTCCACCGACAGTAGTCTGCCATGTTTGTAAACAAAAACACATTTGGGGTATCAATAACGTCATTCCCTTTAGTAGAAGTTACAATTACCTGTGATACATTTTAATGACACCACAATTGAACACGTGCTAATCGGCACGAGGCTATCTCCTCCTAGTGGGTGACAAGCTGATCTTTCCCGGCATAAACGGAAGACACACCCGGAAGGGTGGGAGCAAATGATATCTCACACCGGTAAAAAGGTGGATACACCTGTCCAGGGTAAGAGAAAGTTTCTTCCTTGTCTTTTATTTAGGGGACATTGAAAGATCAAAAAATGGTCTGCTTTTCCCCACTGCATGTGTATCGTGAAAGGCGACTTATGTGGGACACCCTGCAGTTGTTTTTTCTANATTTGTTACTTTCTATTGTATATATTCGCCATACTTATTATTTTATATATTCGTCTTTTTGTAACTAACTGTAGTATATATACGGCATTTTTGTTACTTACTGTTTTATAAATACGTCTTTTTGTAACTAACTGTTGTATATATATATGGCATATTTTTACTTACTGTTTTATATATACGTCTTTTTGTAACTAACTGTAGTATATAAACGGCATATTTTTTTATTAACTGTTTTATATATACGGCATATTTGTTACTTTCTATTGTATATATACGCCATACTTATTATTTTATATATACGTCTTTTCGTAACTAGCTGTAGTATATATACGGCATATTTGTTACTTAATGTTTTATATATACGGCATATTTGTTACTTACTTTTTTATATATACGGCATATTTGTTACTTACTGTTTTATATATACGGCATATTTTTTATTTACTGTTTTATATATACGTCATACTTACTGTTATATATATACGGCATATTTGTTACTTGCTGTTTTATATAAACGACAATTTTTTTACTTACTGTTTTATATATACGTCATACTTACTGTTTTATATATACGGCATATTTTTTACTTACTGTTATATATATACGGCATATTTGTTACTTACTGTTTTATATATACGGCATATTTGTTACTTACTGTTTTATATATACGGCATATTTGTTACTTACTGTTTTTTATGTACGTCATACTTACTGTTTTATATATACGGCATATTTTTTACTTACTGTTCTATATATGGCATATTTGTTACTTACTGTTTTATATATACGCCTTATTTGTTACTTACTGTTGTATATATACGTCATACTTACTGTTTTATATATACGGCATATTTGTTACTTACTGTGTTATACATACGGCATAATTGTTACTTACTGTTTTATATATACGGCATATTTTTTAATTACTGTTTTATATATACGGTATATTTGTCACTTACTGTTTTACATATACGGCATATTTGTTACTTTCTCTTTGATATATACGTCATATCTTTTTACTTACTGTTTTATTATATATACGTCGTATTTGTTATTTACTGTTTTATATATACGTCATATTTGTCAGTTACTGTTTTATATATACGTCATATTTGTCAGTTACTGTTTTATATATACGTCATATTTGTTACTTACTGTGTTATACATACGGCATAATTGTTACTTACTGTTTTATAAATACGGCATATTTTTTACTTACTGTTCTATATATGGCATATTTGTTACTTACTGTGTTATACATACGGCATATTTTTTACTTACTGTTTTATTATATATACGTCATATTTGTTATTTTCTCTTTGATATATACGTCATATCTTTTTACTTACTGTTTTATTATATATACGTCGTATTTGTTATTTACTGTTTTATATATACGTCATATTTGTTACTTACACTTTGATATATACGTCATATTTTTTACTTACTGTTTTATTATATATACGTCATATTTGTCAGTTACTGTTTTATATATACGGCATATTTGTTATTTTCTCTTTGATATATACGTCATATCTTTTTACTTACTGTTTTATTATATATACGTCGTATTTGTTATTTACTGTTTTATATATACGGCATATTTGTTACTTATTGTTTTATATATACGTCATATCGGTTACTTAGAATATTATATATATGACATACATGTATTTGTTACTTAATATTATATATTTATGACACATTCGTTGCTTAGTGTATCATTGTAAGTATTGATTATTTATATGTTTAACAAATATATTTGTTTTTTGAATACCCTAATTCTTTTTATTGCGTCCTATTTTATCGGCGTACTTCACATGTTGGCGACGAACACAAGATAACGTTATTCAAACAAACATTGGCAGTGTGTACTGTTCTAAAGTCAAGCTCTATCACGAACGCCGGATAAGAACTGAGATACACGGAAAAACTGACAATGCATTCTAAGAACCATCAATCAACTTTCCCAAAACTGTACCGAGACACCATAGGTAAACATGTCTTCGGCGATTTATATATATACTTGTACATAGCAACAGAAAGTTCGCGACAAGCATGGCAAAGGAACTTCATTCTGTTTACCGTGAGGTGTCTGGGTTCATGAACAATGATTTTATGATAGGCTGTTCATGGTTCTTATCATTTACTTTATTGTATATATATATATAAAACAGTAAGTGAAAAAAAGGCCGTATATATAAAACAGTAAGTAACAAATATGCCGTATATATAAAACAGTAAGTAACAATTATGCCGTATATATAAAACAGAAAGTATGACGTATAATCTTTAATAGGGCTGCATCATCAAAACTGTCACGAGACTGCGTGTTGGTGATTAATCTATGTTCTATATTTAGTTGGTGACAAATAGTACGGATTATATATTATATAAGTACCACAGAGTGTAACACCGAACAAAGTCCACATCACACATGTCGTTTGTCATAGAGCGTCTACATCGCAACACAGACAACCTTCACGTTACACAGAGAAGCCAGATGGAGACCATTCACATCGCCACACTGACAACCTTCACGTCACACAGCTAAGGAAGACGAGAGCGTTCACATCACTACACTGACAACCTTCACGTCACACAGAGAAGCCAGACGAGAGCGGTCACATCGCTACACGGACAACCTCCACGTCACACAGAGAAGACAGACAAGAGCGTTCACATCGCTACACAGACAACCTTCACGTTACACATAGAAGCCAGATGGAGACCATTCGCATCGCCACACTGACAACCTTCACGTCACAAAGAGAAGCCAGACGAGAGCGGTCACATCGCTACACGGACAACCTTCACGTCACACAGAAAAGCCATACAATAGCGTTTACATCGCTACGATGGCAATCTTCACGTCACACAGAGAAGACACACAATAGCGTTCACATCGCTACGATGACAATCTTCACGTCACACAGAGAAGACACACAATAGCGTTCACATCGCTACCCTGACAACCTTCACGTCACAGAGTAGCCAGACGAGACCGTTCACATTACAGAAAGTATCTATGAACTTTTAACTGTACCACCAAGGTAAGCAAAATAGTAACGTTTTTTTTTTTAAAAAGAGGCGTTTTTGAATCTTCATGCTTTGTGAATAAAGTAAGATTCTTTAGCAGAATAAATCTCCAACGGAAACGGTTGATGTATCATATCAAGCGGCTTTCGCTGTCATTCTAAGATAGCTGCTCTAGTTCGTCGCTGCTATGTTACATCGACATGTTCCCATATACATGTTATTAATTCGTCAAACAAATCATTTAAATAAATATAGATAACGTTATGAAATTATTTGTATTTCAACTTGTCTATCAGGTCGGTCAAGGTTTTTTTTTTTACAAAATAAATTTTCACTGTTTCAGAGTGAAATTACAAGACAATAAACACCTATACCCGGACATAATATGGAACTGGGTGGAATAAGGAAAGTGTCCAAGTTTCTGTCTCAACATCTCGATGCCATGGATAGCGTAGGTTGTGAGGAATCAGTTGGTGTTAGACGTTTAACGAGTTATTTAGCTCAAGTGGCCGGTTTCAACTCTAAGACATGCAGCAGTATAATGACTGGTTCTGAATCAGAAGGATTTAATTTTAGCAGCTCTGATTTGGACATGATGTTAGTAATAAATGAAGTAAAGGTAGTTCAGCCACACGATGACATACAGGAAGGGGATGTCAATCACATGATTCTGGTCACGGATGACACTGGTTGTAGACCTGGCTATACTTTACTCAGGCTTTACAAAGAAGGCGTTGATCCGGACAAAGATGTAATGAGTGCATTGGCAGATGTTAATGGTTCATTGTATCTGTCCAGCCTTGTGTATATTAACAACGTGTTACCGCCAAATTGTTACCAACACGGACCCTGCTTATCGCTTCAGGCAAATAGTAAAAATAAAAGGGAAATAGATATTGCATTTTCTTTCCATTGCCGGTCTTGGCCTGATAGTCTCAGTGACTTTAGGTCTCGCACCATTTATTGTAGATGGCCATCTAGAGATCTGGTTAATTATATCGTTCGGAATGGCTGCTACTTCGTTGCAATCGGTGATAAACATTCTAGTATGAATGCAATGCAATGGCGGATTTCTTTTGCAAAAGCCGAAAACTCCCTCGTAATGTCATTTAATCACGTACAATTCAAAACGTACGCTTTACTGAAAATATTCCTCAAAGAGTGTCTTGAACGTGAAGAACCAATTAAGGACTTGCTCTGTTCTTATTTCATGAAGACAATTATGTTCCATGCGATAGAACTCTCCACAAGTTCTATGTGGGTGGACGAGAACATTGTACAGTGTTTTTGGTTCTGCTTTACCATACTTCTGGAATTTGTACAAACCGGACACTGCCCTAATTACTTTGTGCTTACCCACAACATGTTCCTCTCTAACGTCACTGGGGACAACAGGAGGAGACTACTCCATGTGCTGAATAAATACCAGTGTATGGGGTGGACGTGTTTGTTTCAGTGCCCGAGTCTTCAGTCTTTACCTCAAATTATTCACGAAAGTCGTTCAGTTAATCCAGTTTCAACTCATAAGCAGATGGCTTTAGCTGAAATCAATCGGGATTTACTCATCTATACACAGCACAATTTTATAGGATTCTACGATATTGCGGACATATTAAAAATAATAAACAGGGCGTTTTTAAAGTGCTCTGGTGACCTTTACTCTGATATAGTATTGCTTGCCACTATCAATGCTGTCACGAACACTTCTGGCAACAGCATTGCGGATCTGACACGGACCCAAAATATCCAACCCAGAGGGCGCTGATAGAGGAACATGGCGAATTTTCGGAATATTTTGAGGAAATGGGCGGTAAAGGATACACACTTCTACAGAAAGCGCAACGTTCGTTTGTGTTTGTATATAAAATTCAAGCAAAGTACAACAGACTGTATACACCAGACCTAGACATTGAGGTTCAAGCAACCGAGGACAATCGTAAGTTTATTTCCCTCCCACCACTACCGTACGCTATCTTCCTCGTGGTGCTATCTATGTATAGACTCAACAGTATTGGCCAGGCCCGGGTTCTCCTCGATGACCTCCTGGTTGTACGCAGCGATGAAGTCTATGGAGTACGTAACTACCCCATTTTACATAATCTGGTGGGGATATGTCACCAATTGTTGGGGAACACAAGACAGGCCATCATGTCTTTTGAGGACTCGTGTAGACAACTTCCTGACAACCGAGCAGCTGCCAGTAGAATTACCGAGCTACGACGGCACCAGAGAGAAGAGCAAGGTGACACAGACATCGACGCCCTGGACTACTGCAATGTTCCATGTAGATATGAGCGATACGAACTTTTAGACGATGACGACGATAGGTTGCACTACCATAAAGTGATGTATAACACTGACCGTCGATTTTGTTAATATGTGGGTATTTTAAAGCATAATTTTCCATCGCAGTATCCCGATTAAAGTCTGGTACAATCACGTCAAATACAGATTTTTATGGTTGTTGGATATAAACAAGAACCTCATACAGTAGATCGTCAATTGTTTATCAAATGTGAACTTTATCATAATGATGTCGTCGGTACTGCGAGTTGCCTAGTTAAAATTATAAAAGAGACAACAGTTCATGTAACCATTCAAATAATTTGTTTGTGAAATAGATGAGCTTGTTACGTTAGTTATAACCCCCGTCAGTGTCTGTATGGTATACTGTTAAACTACAGAGGTAGAACGACAATTTGTTCGGATATGTTCATAAAACCTATGTGTACTTCAAAGAAGAAACTGGTGACAATTATCGACAATTATTATTTGATAGGGAAATTGGTATTTTAGTTATTTGTAATTAAAGAAAAGGAAAAATGTAAATATATTTTCGTGAGAATTATGAGAGACATAATCAGAGATATGTGATTAATACATATATTGAAGATTGTTGAATTCAGGTGTTTTATATTGGGGAAAAAAGCCTTAGTAAAAAGCAAATTTTATGCTTGGCATATTTTTATTTTTTTAATGTCTCATTTTCATTTGACAATATATAATGTATAATGACCAACAATGTGTCTCTCACTAATTGTTCGATGCGGTGCTGTTTTAACATTGAAATACTTAATTTAAAAATGTTTAAGACAGTATTCTTAGGCCGATATTCTTCATATATCTTTACGCTCGAAAGGATCTAGGATCACATTAATACATGGGGAAATGGGTTGTTTCTTAAAAATTTTGTAATCTCGAGTGAGTTTTATATTATGAGGGTGTATCTCGTTTCTGTGACCATTCAAGACCGTAATATGTAACACACTTTTATCCACAATTATAGCCAAATGTGCATGACGTAAAAAGGAAAACGCGGAACCTGTTTTAAGGCTGTTAAAGTTTTACGTCTGTTTAGCCTGTTTAAGGTTGACAGACTCCTGTAGTTGTTAGTTATCTCACCTTTCTCTGGTGTGCATTGAAGGCTGATAGGCTGGCATTGTTTACATAATTATATAAAGCTTTAAGTATCGGTTTACTTTGCATGGACGTACTCTGTACATAACTGTAAATGCCTCAATGGGTGTTTTAGACACTTAATAGACATGAAGTGACATACACAAAGTGACGCCTCATAAGTCTCAACTTACCTTAATTTTCCATTAGGTTAAATGTGAATATACTTTCTTCGGCATAAAATGTATTGTTTATGCATTAAAAAAACCACTTTGCAATTCTACTTGTTTTCTTTCCCAAATTTTTCTAAATGTGTACAGATTTGTATGTGTGCTATAACTAGGAAGAAAAAGAGGAGGGAGTAGGGGAATTATAAATACCTAGTATAAGCTTTAACACTACAGCATGTAATACTCAAATCAGCGTCACCCACTTCAGGTCCCGGGACATTCAAGTGGCCTTATGTATCGAACTGTATGATGCTATGAGGTGACTAAGCGGCAGCCATGCAAAATTGAGATTACTCTGCATGAATGACTTCTTATACAGAACACTCAATAGACTAACAGTGATCTGCTGTATTGTGATAGGGAAGATACGTCAATACTGTAGGCGAGGAGAATTTCGGAGGGGATATAGTGGGGACAGGGGCAGGGCACTCCCTAATAGCCAAATATTTTGACATTTGGCCTTTTGGTTCTTTAAAAAAAGTTGACAAAAGAAAAAGTTGATCAAATAAAGATGTATCACCATGTACAAGGTCACAAGCACTTTGTATCAGGAGAGCTAAAACCTGTGGATGTCAGATTCCTAGCTAGAAAACCAGTTACTACTCTTGGTGTCAAGCTACCTTCCATGACCCCCCGACCTAGCACACACACACGTGTCGTGTTATCAAGATACAAAATCTAAAACGAATAATCATCAATCAAGTTTCCTTCACATTTATATTGCTCTGATATTTACATACTTACATATATTTACATGGAGTTTAAGCTATGAAAGTGAGGTGTATGTGAAATATAACCATATTCAATTTATCTTAAATTTCTTCATTTTATGTTTATATATACATTTTTCGTAAGTGAACATATTATTTATTTATTTTTATCACAGATAATTTTGTAGATTGAAACGCATTTCATATTTACTATTAGAACAACAATACAAAATTAATGACACCTTTTGAAAATGTTCTGACAAAAGTATCTCAAATAAAAAAAACTCTCTCCAAAAATCATTTTGTCTGAGAATGTAGTTGTTTAACATTTGTGCAGCAATCAAAGATCTCATTATAGGTCAATGCCTGTTGAATGTGGCTGTTCTAGTCTTGAACCCACCATCTAGAGATATTGTTACATTTAATTGTTGGATGGCCTGTCAAAATCTTGAATGCACCAATCAAAGGTCTTGTGTCATTTCACTCTGGATTGTGGTTATTAAACACGTTTACATACACCAATCAGAGATCTTGTTATATTTTTCATTCTTGGATGTTATATCTCTGATGCACCAATCAGAGATCTTGTTACATTTCACTCTGAGGTGTTTCATTGTACATGGAAAATCATAGCACTTCCTTAGAGAACATGTCTGCTGTAATCTGATGAGGAAGGTTTTGGTCGATGACATCCAGCTTGTGAGGAATCAAATTCCTGAAGCTCGCTACTTCCGCCTTCAGCGTTGAACCCTAGCAATGTTGTCAAGTGTTCTGCTAGCTCATAATCTGCCCTATGTTCTCCTGGTAAAGAACAAAAATTTAAAATGAATGTCACTCCGTCTTCTGTATGATCATTTTCAGTAAAACAAATCATTGACCAAAATACAACTGATATATTTCCACCTGCTTATCAAAATGGTCTAACAATGACTAGGTGTATATACATACACGCTGGTTAGATAACACTGCCAACACATGGATATAATAAAAAGCATATGGTTGTTTTACTTGTTTAAAGTTTACACAACCAAAGCACGTGTTCATAACCCGGAAAATCGAGGGTTATGGTTAAGCCATCGATGGTGATCAGTCAATGTGCAGTTTAGAAAAAGCCCGACTGGATTGTATACCGACGAACTCTTATAGCTACACGATAGAATACTAGAGATAATCAAATATATTGGAAAATGACAACAGAATATATTGTTAAAATATGTTGAATAAAAAGAGGATTTTAATGATTTGCCATAAATATCGTTTATATTTTACGAGTAGGACCGATTATTCTTATATTTTTGATGTACTAATAGTTGTTAGTACAGTTACTTAATAGTGAACAATATCGTAAGTAACGTTCCATTTCTGTCAACGACCACTGGGTACCGACAAAATAATGCCGTGTCATAGTTAGCAGTCGGATGTTAGTCAAACATTGGGCCAACGTCAAACCAAACGTTGGCCCGACAACGGCAACCAACGTTGGCTCGACATACGTTTGTCCACCGTATTGAAGTTGGCTCAACGTCGCAGCTAAGCGTTGGTTAAACAACGGCTAACGTTGGGCCAACGCTGACCCAACGCTGACTCAACACTTAATTTTGATGTTAGCCCAACGGGTGACGTCATTACGTCGGTGGTCTAATGTCGGGTACCGCATCTTGTGCAGCAATGTAACGTTGGGCCGACCTCATTACATCGGTGGTCCAGTGTCAGGTACCGACGTCAGTAAAACAGTGGTCACAAGTCGGTACTTAACGTTGTGTAGGAAATGTGACATTGGCTACAATTAATAGATTTCAGAATGATGGTATTCCTATTTTCGTCTCCTAGTCGTTTTTCCTGCATGTACGTTTCGTCACTCTTTTTGTCCTCACCTGTAGATCAATATAGAAAGAAACACAATGGGCTAGTATTTCGTTATGACACACTCATAATCAATTTACAAGTTAAATTCGTTTAACGAGAATAGAATAGTTGTACATGAAGCGAATCCATATTTTTAGTTTGCTGTAACGAAATAATTGTACAATGTCAGCAATTCAAACGATAATATTAAAGTGACAGGAGTGTCCCCTTTTGAATACGTATTTATTATTCGCTGTTGTATGAGAAATACACGACTGCCATTTCCTGTTCAGCAACTTCATGTGCACCTGAAACATACATAATATTAAACTCATGAGTATTACGTTGAACTGTTTTTCTTCGATTTTCTGAAGTTTAAACAACAAGAATTGTGAGAATAATTTATCAAACTGTAGGATCATTACCATGTATACTACATAGTATAACTATGATATGCACTTCAATTTCAAAAGAATTTCATAATCAAGGTAATTCTTTAACTAATTTGGGTGAAAAATGAGGTCCCTTTCTCCATGCACTAACTGATGAACAAGGTATACAGATGAAATATAACCAATAGAACAATCGGTACATGTAGCGTATTGTTCACAGTATATGTATACACATTAAATTAGTAAGTATGATATGTATATAACAGCTATATTATATGTATATAACAGCTCTATTATATGCATATAACAGCTATAGTCACAAGGAGAGACTTTAGGGGGTTTATAGATATTATACCAAATACATGTACCATCGATGTTATGTATGTTTCAATAGGTGCCGCGAGTTTGACTGTCACATATGAGGATTATATATACTACTCACATTTTGCTAAGGATCACTTATATTTTCAAAAAAAAAATTGAAATGTTAGAAAGGATATTATATTTTCCTTCCGTACTGTTTTAGGCGAATCTGTTAGCTTCCAAATCGTCCTGTGTGGGTGTGTTCAGTCAACCATAAAAGTGCGTGCACGCTTTTCCACGTGTACACCCCTTTCGAAAGCTAAGCTAGGCTAAGTAAGGCGTTGTTCAAATTGTTAAGGAAATCAATTTGATGAATATTCTTTGTGTGATTTTGTTTTAATATGGCACAAAAACGAACCAGACATCGGTTAAATGACTGTGAAATGAATAGGGGCATCGGAATGCTGCAAGCTAGCATGTCCAAACGTCAGGTTGCAGCAGACTTAGGAGTGTCTCAAAGTGTGGTGGCAAGAATATGGAATCGTTTCCTAACTAACGGAAACCCTTCCAGACGTCCTGCTGGAGGTCGTTCTGGGGTTAAAACGCAGCGCCAAGACCGATGTTTGCTCATACAGGCACGGCGCGTCATAGGTTCCAGACTGCCACAGCTTTAAGAAATGACCTCCTAAATGCTTTTGGTACCCGGGTAACCACTCAGACAGGTAGGAACCGTCTTCATGATGCTGGTTTAAGGTCAAGTAGACCAGCAATACGAGTTCCCTGAACTGTCCGCCATGTTATAGGGACCAATTAGATTGGGCCCGAGCTCACATCACTTGGAGGGGGGGGGGGGG